TGCAGGTCTTTTCTGTGTGTGTGTGTGTGTGTGTGTGTGTAGCTTACCCATATGCTGTCCGAGCGATTCACTGTTCTTCTGGAACCATAACCAGGCATTGATTTTATAAGGTCCAACCGGCTATGCATGAAAGTATGGGCAAGTTTTCGAGATCAAACTGTTTTCAAGCAGGACCTTGTGAAAAACAGATTGGGGCTGCAGACGGAGGTGGTCAAACGAGAAAAAAAGACCAATATTGAGGCCAGTCTTATGGTCAGGGTGAAGGAAAATATTCAGAGGCGAATGGATGGGGCTCAAGGAAACATCGGGCAAGTTCAGGGTTACACCTGGCAGTGCTGCCAAGTTTCACAGTAAGTCAGCTTGTTGGTCAAAGCTTGGGCATTAATGACTCTGTTTAGCTAAATTTTCCAGAACAAAACCTTCTCCCTGGGGTGGCAGTGAAAATGAACTCATGAAGGTTGTAGCAGCACTGAAGGGGAGTTGGAGATCACCCCACCCACCCAATTGCTTTCTGTTAAACAAAAGAGCTAGACTCGATTTCTACATGGAAACAACCACTCAAGAAGGGGTGTATAATGTCGCGATGGATGATGTCATGGCCTATTTCGCAGTCCCAAACTGCAGCTCCCGAGAGGTAGTGTGCTGTTCCACCTATGCAAAAACTCATACGCATGGAGCAAGATTTTGAATTAAAGAGCTCTTACCTGAGATCACATGGATACATTTGCTACTTTTCTAGGAAACCGTTAATTCGTTTTGGGTAAGTTTGCCCATCGTTAGATGCCCCTGGAACTGTTGAGAAAACACAGAATGGTCAGTTCTCCCATTTTGAGAATTCACTTGCCATTACCCTATTGTCAAGATCTACTAAGAATTACAATCTGAGATCATTCATTTCTGGCCCTTTATTTCGATTTCATTTTATCTGAAGGTGCTCATAGGTCACCTATAGTGCCAGGAAAGAAAGACACAGTTATTCTTGGTGTGCTTCCCAGGGCCAGAGTGATACCACTTCTTCAGATGAGGAGAGGCTGGGACCAAGGCGTTGGTGGAAGAGGAAGAGCATATCTCGAGGCCATCATTCCCAGGTGTTCAGGCCGAACCTGGCAACAGGCAGGGTTCAGAAGCAGGGAATGGCTGCACCGTTAGTGAAGCTGTGTACCTCTAGGAGACCAGCTCTTCCCCTGAGGAGTGGAGCCCAGGGCTGCTGCAAAGGAGGGTTCTCGGAAATAGTTTCTAGTTTGGGATCAACTAAACACTCTGTTCATGCACAGAGGCTCTTTTTTCAGTTTGCTGGCTGTAAGTTGAAGCCAGAGAACTCATAAGCAAAAAGACTGTCTGTTGTTTGAAAGGAATTATGGAGGAAGCCCAGCTCCTGACAATAGGACTAAAACGCAGGGCAGTCTACCAAGTTCAAGAAACACCAGTCACACACATTAGTCCAACTGACAGCTGACTAACAGAAAGCAAAACAATCAGACGAATGCAGAATTAATCACGCATTGAAACCATTTCCCTCAAGTAGTCCCATAAAAGCCTTAGAAGACCACAAAAGAGCAAATGCATACTTGAGATACTGCAAAGATGAGGACTGACGTACCCAAAGGTGCGATGCCAGCAGTGGGAAACCTGTATGAGTTTGCCCGCCAAAGATGACCACTCGGGCATACCCTTGGCTGCCGATCTCACCTGTGGGCAGGTTGCCACAGGTGAAGGTTCTCCTTCTAATAACTCGGCCCCAAACCATTTCAACCTCACTTAACCATGTTGCTCGAAATTGGACTGAGAGGCTCACCAGTAACTCGCTTAGCTCATCCAGTATAGGAATTGTCACATGATCTGAGTGCCTCGTACGCACTCGCCTCATTCTCCACCTGCAGACACGTCCACCTGATCTTGAAAGACGGTCCCACAAACAGTGTGTCGCAATGGTTCATATTTTCCCCCCACCCTGTGTCTGAGCAGCCCTTTGGCGGATGCGTCACGTGGATGCCCCGGCACGGTCTGAACCCAGCCTGCAGTCCTGTACGCTATAGTGCGACTTCCAAGTAAATGCAGCAGCTAAGGAGATGGATATGGGACTTTTCTTACTGGCTTTCAAACAGGCCTGGAAGCTCCTCTCCCCCCCCCCCCAAAAAAAAACCCACTTTCTTTTTTACTCTCTTGTATTCTGTGTTTTATTTGCTGTGGTCTTTGTAATACTGGTCTGTAAACGCTTTCGTTGTAGGTTGGTTTCAGTTTTGGATAGCATTTTTATTGCGTTTTGATGAGCCATGTTTTGGTGTTTGTATGTAAGCCTCCATGGGAGGTTTTTCTCCGGAAAGGTGGGCCGTACCTCTTTCATGCTATCAAAAAAGCCAGCAAGCCTGAATAGGATTTCACTGTTCGTGCCAAAGGGCCCGAGTGTATCTGCTGCAGTGCTGTATTTCTGTCGTGTTATTTCTGCTTCGTTTGCTTTATACTGACTCACGTCTCAGGGAGGGGTTTGTCGCACTCCTACTAACACCAGAAGCTGGGAAAGAGCTTGAGATGTTGAGATGCAGAACACACGAGCTAACATGGAGTTAGCACATGCCTCATTGCGGCTGGCTTTGCATCCGAGCCGTTTCCCCCATGGCTCCAGCCAATCCGGACATTAACTTGGTTCAGCCCAACTCAGAACAACCCGATTCCCTGCTCATGGCTTACCAACATCATCAGGGTGGCTCCCAGCAGACGTGGACAAAGATTTTCTATGACCAATGTCATACACGCTCTCTAGAACAGCAGGTCCCAACCTTTTGTTCTATGCCTCACACCTTTTGTTCTATGCCTCAGAAAATGTTTGATTCATGTTCACACCCCCTGCAAAAGTAAGAGCCCATTTGAAGATGAAGTCAGATTTCTAATTGCTGAACCTCAAACCGAACCACATACAGGAGTGCGGGTGAACAAACTGAGCTCAGTCCATAAAATTCAAATATATGAGGGGTCTTCAGAAAGTTTCTGCACTTTTAAAATTATTCATTAAGAATTTCAAAAACAAATTACATCACTTTTTTACATAGTCACCTTCCTTTACAATGCATTTTTCCCAGCATCGTACCAACTGTTTGATGCCATCAGCAAAAAGTATATAAAATATATTTATAAAATGTAAAAGTGTGGAAACTTTTTGAAGACTGCTTGTAAATTGAGCAATGAGAAAAAATTGTAAAGAGTAAAATCAATCCCAGTTGTAAATCTAAAGTTCAATGACTTCTTTGTTCCTGCTTCTCATTCATGATTTAGTCAAAAAGTGGAGAGTCCTTGCTGATTGCAATCCATAACCTACCTGTGGATTCAGGTGATGCTCAGATTTTGTCTTGATCGACAAAATGAATCATAATGCAAATAAAATAATAATAAATAGGGAGGCTAACGGAGGATCCTCTATACCCTCTCCAGAATTCACCTCCCAGAATTATTTGGGAGAAGACATGATAGCTAACTGGCATAAAACTAATGGGAGATTGTAGGATAGATGCCCAACCGCATGATAGCAGGTGGACTGTTATTTTAAAAAAAGTTATAAAAGTCTAGGGATGGCGCTAACCATTCTGGGAATTGTAATTTTCACTGTGACATCTTCCGCCATGGAGAACAAAGGATCAATTTCTTCATCACAGGCATTTAGCTGCCTTGGGTGCTGGTAAGGCCTGGGTTACAGGTGCCTGTTGTGCATCAGACTTCCAGCAAGCTCTTGGAGATGCCAGGTTTCTCAGGGAAGCAGGGGCCCTGAGGCATGATAAGAGCTCTGCAGGTGACTGAAAGCTGGACAAGCTTAAGTAGAAGTGTGGTCCCTTTTTTAAGGGGCCTCAGACATGCCCCTGTTATCAGACCCTAAGGACAGAAGAGCATCTCCTCTGGACAGGTCCCTGGATTCTGTTGGGAACTTCATCTTAAGAAGGTTGGGGCTTTGGGTTACCATTCCCTATCCAAGTCACCTCCCTGAACAGTTAACTCAGGAGCCTCTTCTTCTGAGGAGAGGGATTCAGGATCCTCTAAGGAGCAGATTTCAGAATTATGAAACATGGAGAAGATCTCACCATAAAGACCCCTTGCTGCTTGAGTCCTTGCAGAAGATAAGGAGAAGATTCCACAGCAAAATCCAAGAGGCACAAAACTGCAGTCCTGGAGACCTATTGAAAGGAGTTGGCCCATACCTCATCTGTTTTGCACTCAAGAGTCCCACATGCATCACTTAGTTAACAGCTCCCATGAAGGCCCCTTGCTGCTTGAGTCCTTATAGAACCACTGCCAAATGGAGTAGACTAGGAGTGGGCAGAAAGTAGAACTCCAGATGCGTTGGACTTCAGCTTCCAGCATTCCTGATCCTTGGCCATGCTAGGAGAGACTTCTAGGAGTCGAAGTCTGGAAATCTACCTTTTGCCAACCTTTGCAGGAGACCAGCCTTCCCAACCTTGTGCCTTCCAAACACGTTTGGACTGCAACACCCAGAATTCCCAGTCAGTGGCTCTGCTGGATGGGAATTCTGGGACCTGCAATCCAAATACATCTGAAGGACACCAGGTTGGAGAAGGGTAGACAATACAGAGTTTCCTTGGGTTAAGAGAGCTTTATTCCTTAGCAGAATGGGCCTGGTCAAATTCTTCTTGTATTTATTTATTTAGAACTTTTATATCCTGTCACCACATGCCTCAGCATCTCGGGACGGCTCACAAATGTACAATTAAAACAATAACAAATTACATAAAATTATATAAAAACAAAAAAGCAACTGTTAACGATAAAATGTTGATTTTTAAAACATTCCATAATCTGGGTGCCACCACAGAGAAGGCCCTGCTCTGGGTAGCTGTTCTTTTTATCTCCTTTAAAGAGGGGCTTTGTAGAGTTATCTGTTCCATTGCTGAACTCTTGGCACAAAAAAGTTATACAGGGAAGCCTCCACACAGTCTTTAGCACGAAACTAACCCTGTCCATTCATTTTGTTTTTGCCTTGACTTTTTGTCCTTCAGCCACTCCCTGCATCAAAGCTATTAGCCCGAGTGAAGGGTGGACTACGGGAGGAGCAATGGTGATCATTATCGGAGACAACTTCTTTGATGGACTACAGGTCGTATTTGGGACCATGCTTGTATGGAGTGAGGTAGGCAAGCTTGCATTCTGGTTACCCTTTCTGCAGCTATGCCAAGTTGGTGTAGATATGGTTTATTTATCAGGTATCAGGCCGCAAGATTGAAACACAGAATCATTCATCATTCTAATTTTTGGTTCTAGGTCACTAAATGGTCACATTAAATGGGAAAGCCAGTGGGGAGCCAGTGTGGGGTAGTGGTTAAGAGCTGGAACTGGGACTCAGACGATCTGGGTTCGAGTCCCCGCTCAGCCATGGAGCCAGCTGGGTGACTTTGGGCCGGTCACAGACTCTCAGCCCAACCTACCTCACAGGGTTGTTGTTGTGGGGATGAGATGGAGGAGGAGAATGATGTAAGCTGCCTTGAGCCCTTTGCAGGATGTCAATCAATCAATCAATCAACAAAAGCAAATAGCTAAAATATCACAAACCATCGAATGTTCACTTGAATATTCAAGAAGTAATGAGGCAAGGATATACAGTATATTAATTTCTGCACCTTTCTTATTTTTGCTGATGGGTTTTTGGGATCTTGAGGTACAAGGAGTGTTTGTGTGTAGACGAAAGAGCAATCCTACCTGTTGAGGACTGAATGATGGAAGTCCCCAGTCTTGGAGGCTTCTTGGTAGCCATGGAGTGCTGACCACATGGCAGTGCCAGCATCTGGGCTGCTCTTGGACCTCACGATCCCAAAAATCCATCAGCCAATGATATCTATTTCGTTAAATGCAGCAAAGATGGTGCAGTTAGCAAAAACTGGGCAGTTCACAACATCTTAAGTCACCCATCCAGATTTCAACTAGAATCAGAGGGCAGTTTGGTCAAATACTATATCTAGATGTGTATATTGATAGGTGCTATATAGAAAACTGTTTCCTGAACTAAAGAAAACATGGGACTGGGGGAATAATTCTAAAAGCGAGTCCAGAAAATGCTGTGCCACAACTTTCACTTTTTAAAATCTGTTCAGGTTCCCCTCCCCTGCAATTGTGACTAGTTCTACATATAATTTCATCAAGTTTGCTTCTTGGACTGCATGGTACTGATATTCGCGTAAACATTTGCACTCTGGTAAAGCCTGCACATCCGGCAACATGCCTAGATATAAGTACAAAGACACAATCCCACGCTAGGAATCATTCACCCCATTCTTGGTCCATACTCAAAACTGGGCCCAGTTTCAGCTCCCGAAGCATCATCAACACAAGTCCATTAGCACTGATGCAGAGGGACTGCTTACCTGAGCAGTGTGAGTGACAGCCAAGCCTCTGAGAATCGCTTCCATTTTACGTCTGCTTTTCCACGCTGCTGGGATGTGTTGCGTGCTCCTTCTCTAGAGTGCAGTTAGGTACTTCTAGATTCTGGCTTTGGTGGTCTTGTGCACCCTTTTCAGAGAGTACTGTGCATGGACAGTCAGTGTGGTCTAGTGGTTAAAAGTGCTAAAGTCAGACTCACGTGATCTGGGTTCCCATCAGACACAGCATGACTTTGGGCCAGTCATTGCCTCTCAGCCTAACTTTGCCTCTGAGAGGAGATGCTGTGAGAATCAAATGAGGAGGAGGAGAGATTTGTAGCTGTCTTGGGTTCCTTGCAAGAAGAATAAGCGCAGAATATAATGCAGTGCAATAATAATGCCATTCCAGCTACTTCAAGATGGAAGCCACCCCACCCCAGCTTCTTATTCTGCTGAGGTGAGCCATGGACATCTTTCCAAAGACTTACCTGGGTGGTCCTACTGTCTCAGCTTCTCCCCTACCATGGTTTCTCCAGCATTTAAAATCAAAACAAAATTTAAAGTTGCTAGTGGCACCTTTAAAAACACCAGAGGGAACTTGGGGATGGGGCGGGAAAGAAACCCTTCCAACCTGCAGTAGGCATCCAAAAGTGAAAAGGAACCATCATCTCGGGCAGCCCTGCCACCCAGGGATGTGCCTCCAGCCTGCTGAACTGGCGAACAGTTCTGCAGCACCACCTCAATGGAAGAGAAAATTGGGCAGCTCTTGCACATCAAAGGGAAAGAAGAATTTCCTAACCTGGGAAAGAAGAATTTCAGTGTTATTCCAAATTGGAAACTTCCAGTTCTTATATGAAATGTGTTTTGTTTAGCTTCACTAATATTGGAGGCCTCACCCAGATAGTTTAGCAATTTTCCCCATTACTGAGATCTTTAAAAGAGAGTGTGAGTCATTTGGGCCAGGGTTATGTGTGTCATCAATAGTAAATGTATATTCTGCCAAATAATTATTGTTCTGAAATGACTAGGGGCATAAATTGAGAAGGCTGCCGGGCCTTGTAGAAAAAGAGCTGTATTCTCACTTGTTTTCTCTCTCTGAAACTTCCCAGCTGATCACTCCTCATGCCATCCGTGTCCAGACACCGCCTCGTCACATCCCCGGTGTGGTTGAAGTAACATTATCATACAAATCAAAACAATTTTGCAAAGGAGCTCCTGGTAGATTTATTTATACAGGTACGTGAAAACAAGGTCTTGCATAGGGCTAGCTCCAAGCAACCTACTTTCTTCTGAATTACAAATATTTAAAGTCGCTCAGAAACCATGCCTTCTTGTCATTTCATTTGTTTCAAACCAGATGCTGATTTTTTCCCTCTAAATTTTGTTTCCTTTCTTTTTCCTACAGGGCAGTTCTCCCCTGTTGTTGCCATGTGCCATCAAGTCATCTCTGACTTATGGTAACCCTATGAGTGACTGCCCTCCAAAATGCTCCATCCTTAACAGACCTGCTGAGCTCTTCCAAAATCAAGGCTTTGACTTCCTTTATGCAGTCAATCCATCTCAAGTTTCCCCTTACGTCCTGTAAATGTAGTAATCCTAAGATTTCCAAGGACATATTGAAATAAAAAGGGATGCATGTGGCAAGGGGGCATCAGCAGCCAGAATCTGTGGGCAGCTGCTATAGGTCCATCACTCAACTTCCCCGGGCTTGCCCAGCACTCCAAGCATTCTGGGGAATCAGAACGGTGCCTCTGTTCAGCCACATATCCTGGCTCAAAGATAGCACTGCTATTGCTGTTAGCATCCCCTACCACAAATTGGTAAGAGCACTGAGAAACTTGTCAGTAGAGAAGGAGACTCGGGAGAGGGCTTTCACAAGGGCTCCTCAAAAGCCAAACCTGGCATGAGTGCAGTTGGAACGTTTCGATGAACAGAATTGAAATGAATTAAATGCATGTCTAACCTTTGGGTCTGTTTTGGATTTTACTGTAGTGGTCAGAATTGAGGTCTGGGCTGTGTATGATTTCAGGGAGTGTGATGGAGAGGAGGTCCGTAGTCAGACCGTGCTGCATCTTGTCTGCCTCCAGTGTGAGAGAGCCCCCCATCTCCCTAGGTCATGGACTCCACTGCCATCCTGCTCTAATAGCCAGGAAGCTCTCGCTGCTATCCTGCTGGAACCTGGCTTCCTGTAATTTGAACCCTTTCTTCCACGCCCTGAACTCTGGGCCGATCAAGAAGAGAACCTGTCCTTCCTCTTTCTGCCAGCCTTTCAAGTACTTGTAGAGCACTGTTTTTCTTCTATATAATAATAATTTTAGATAGCAAGAACCTGGTTTTGCCTAGGATCTTCCAATTTTTACTTCTTTCCTTTTTGAGCTAAATTTACTTACAGGTACACAGGTACCTGCTCACAGGTACACAGTTTGGATATTTCTGTTTTTGTTTTAATTTTGAACTACCTTTTAAAATTCTTCATTGGGCTTATACTCCAATGTTCTAGGGTTTACAAGCGGGGATATTTCCTTACCCTACTGGAGATATTGGGAACTGAATCTAGGACTCAGTATGCAAAGCATGTGCTTTTCCACTGAGCTAGAACTTGGCAGATCCAAACATCTCCACTGAAAAGGAATACAGTTCCCTCTCATGAAAGTGCTCATTCTGTAGAAAAATCTTCCATCCTACAAGTCCTGATTGATTATGAAAGGATGACAGGTCTGCCAGTAGGTATCAGCAATGATGGCTAAATGGAAACGCTGCAGTCAGCGGCGATCTAACAGACTAAGAAAGGCCATCCTAGAGCAGAACAAAGTTCCATCTAGTCTAAATACCTGGTTCTGGGGGTGTGGGGTGGGGAGAGCTTAGCGTTTTGCCTGGTCTCTGGAGGAAACCAGATGCTGAACTAGAGATATCCCCTTTTCCCTGATCCAGCAGGTTACTTACATGTTTAAGAACAGAGAATATATTCAGTGATCCCTCCAACAGTATTGCCAAAGCAGATCCTGCTTGTTTGATTAAATCCCAGATGTTGTGAAGGAAACTCTGTGCAGAAGTACATGGCGCGCTCCAGGGGAGTACTTAGATTTTAATATCTTTGCAATGGTGATGGAATTGGAATCGGAGAACAGAGAAGGTATTCTAAATCTTGCTATGACAAAGTCATAAAATGGTTCCTTGTTCCAAAGCCAGCAATTTAGTCAGCTCTGTCTTATATGTACCATCTGGGGGTGGGTGGAAGCACAACAGAACTGGCCCTAGCAATACGCAGGCTTGAACGAGAGACCATTTTCGTGTCTTCGCCTCTTCCACGGGAATGGTGTGGGCACTGCAGAATGCTGCCAGTCTTTTCTGAGTTGAAGCTTTGACCTCAGAGGATGGATCAGAGCATAGAGCCCCACATGCGCATGCGCATGCACGCGTGCGCGCACACACACACCAGTTGCCACAGGAATCTCCATGGTGCTTACCTTGTCTGAAGGTGGGTGATGCAACATCAGGAAAGAGAGGGAAAGAGCGGGATGAGGTCCGTCAGGCCAACAGTCAATGAGCAGGGAGGGGAGGGGTTGAGGATCCACTTGAAGCCCGTCTAGTTGTAGAAAACGTACAGGAGATGTGGAAAGCACCTCAGTTGCCCCTTTCTCAAGTCAGAGTCAGGTGTAGGCAGCAGGAGGCAAGGCAGATGCACCAAGACTCAGCCGCAGGACCCAAGGCAAGGCAGACTCCGAGCACAGTCCAAAGTCTAATAGTGACGTCAGAGGACTAGGCAAGGAACCATCCAAAGTCTGCCAGACAAGGGCAGGTCTCAAACAGGCCAAGGGTCAGGAACCAGGAACAAAACAAGGAGCCAGTACCTGAGGTAGGTCAGCCAGGCAGGATTTGGAAGCAGCAAGGTGTGGCGAGCAAGGCTAAGTCGAATGGAGCAAGGCAGGAACTGGGAAAGGTCGGCCGGGCTGCAGGCCTTGGGACGTGCAACAGCCAGTGGAGACCTCTGTTGCTCAGGCAGTGTAGCAAGGCATGTGCAGAAAGCTGCAGGAGCTGAAGCCAGCTGCAGCTAACAGGAAGTCCTGCGCTGGTGAGGCGTGATGAGGCAAGGACTAGATGCACTGAGGGCTGGTGCTGAGCCACCTCGCAGCTAGCAGGAAGATCAACATCGCGGAGGCATGTCTGGGGTGCAGAGCTTGCCCTCGGTGCTCTTCAAGAGGCTGAGCGGTCCGGCAGGGCTTGGGCCCACTTCTGCGATGACGCCAATGGGCATTCTGGTTCTGGCCACCAGATGGAGCCCTGGAGCAGCCTGGATCCTGACACTGCCGTGTGGTCAGCGGCTCCATGGGCATTGGTCAGCCAGAAGCCTCAAAGACTGGAGACTTCGGTCCTCCAGTCTTCAACAGGTGCTCTCTTCTCTGCACACACTCTTTGCACCTGTTTGTGGCACTGGCAGTAGAATCCAGTGGTTATCAGTGGGGATAAACTTGGATGGATGAAGATCCATCCATCTAGTCACTGGATCAAGCTGGAGTAAAAATACAGACTCCCTCCCCCTCCCCACTTCTGCTATCAGGCCATAAAGAACGTCCACAATGGATTAGGTAAAGGATATTTTCAGTATCTCCTAGTTGTTTTCATGCGCTCTGCTAGGAGGCTGCTCCATAAAATTAGCAAGGGAAGAGGGAATCAAGCAATTTCTCAACTTTCTGTCTAGGTAGATCATGACAATCAGAGTGATAAACACAACTATTAAATACAGCTGCACCTGGTGTAAGCAATTCCCCCAGCTCATTTGGGCTGGTAGCAGAATTGTTTAAAGGAGAGAGAGAGAGACAGAACAATAAAATAAGAACTTCCAAGTGGCACAATTAACCTAGCGTGTTGTTTTTCTCCTGTGGTCCCTATATTAGTGATCTTCAAAACCTGTTATGATCATGGTTCGATTTTTAAAAACACACGTAATTACTGCAGATAAAATTTTTGGTGGATGGGATGAAGTCATGAACTGTTTTCCTCCATGAATAAGTACTTGAAGAACATGCGCCATGTCTGTATGAAATTGGCAAATGTACGGACAAAGCAGCTCAAATGCAGGCAGGAGTAAAGACAATTTGTAACGGGGAGGGGAACCATTTCTCAAAATCTAGTTTTTTAATTTTGAAATTATTCTTTTGGAAATGTGCAGTTAGTCCAGCATAGATCAATGTGTTTGATTCCAAGCGGGGATGTTCTGATTTGATTTAGTCCATTCCATGTGCATTCTGGAGATTGGAGGGAAATCTGTTTCATCATTTGCAAAGGCACAAAATTTGTTTTTGCCTTGCTCTGAAAATTATGGAAAAGAACTTTGCAACACATTTTTAGCTTGCCTTAAACGTTGTTTATGCGTTATTGTAACTTTTCCAAATGGTTTATATCATTGTGGTTTTGTCAATGAACTCATTTACACACACTGGGTGTGTGTGGGTAGGGGCGGGTGTGGGGGGGAGATGGGAATTCAATTCAATTCCCATCTTCACAAAATCTACCTGATGTGTGCAACATGGTCCAAAATGAAACCTGTGGATCAGATTAGCAGATTTGGGGATTTATTTCCATCCATCTCAGAATCCCAAAGAAATTCCAAAGTCTTGTGCAGTGTTGAGCTATGAAGGCAAGACTGGAAGTTCAGATTTCAAAAGGTACGCAGGCCATCAAGGATGTGGCGCACCCTTTAGACCCCCCCACGGTTTCCCTCAGAGATAGCGGGAAGGCCCTAATCCATATCAGGACTGGAGTGGAGGATGGAAGCCCTCCGGGAGGTGTTCCCAATTTGGGTGGGAGGCTGCACGTGCCAGACGCACGAGGGGAGGTGGCGCACACCCTCCTTTCACTCCCGTGGCCGGTCCCTCACTCCTCACACGCAAATTGGAGAGGGGGCGCTGTGAGCCAACGCCTGAAGCCCCCTCACTGACCCACCTAGCCCAGTGCTGGCAGTCTCTTTGAGGGCAAGCCACAAGCTTAGCTTCATGTGTGGTTGGAGTCCCTGATGGCAAACTCCTCGTATTCTGGGAAAATGTCCGCCTTTGCATATGCATCTGGGAATTCGGGATAAACATTTTCCCCCAGATCCATCCTTTCCTTGTTCTGGTCATCCTCTTTTCTCACATACCATTCAGTCATGCGAGGTGGCTACTTCAGGCATCTGATTTCAGTGTCCAAAAACACAACAAATTGTGAGCTTTTTCAAGTAGCATTCTTAAGTTTTCCCTCCCAACTTTGGGAGTTTCTGTCTCAGGTTCCAAAATGCCATGAGTTGATTTGGGGAAGGGGCAGGCGTTTGCTGTGCTATGCCAGCCTACTTTAACACTTCCTGAATTTCTCTTTCACTTGGAGAATTTCTAAAATTAATTCCAGAATTGGAATTCTTTAATTTAAAGTTATTAAACTTATTTTAATAATAAGGGTGACTTATTTTATATTGTAATTCATTTTATATTTTCAATGTATTATATTTTAATGTTTTGTGAGCTGCCCCAAGGCTTCGGCGAAGGGGGCGGCATAGAAATTTTCTAAATAAATAAAAAAATATAACATTTAATTTTATTATTTAAATCTTTTGTATACCATCCACTACCATGTGGTCCGGGGATGGTACCATGTGGTCTCATCCATTCCTTAACAGCATTAACACCTTTTCCCCTTTGAGTTATGGATGTCTCTGTGCAGGTAGATAGCCCTCTGCCCAAGCAAGAGGAGTTGCAGATGTATCGTTACAAAGGTCCAGTTCTTCTAATCCGGGTGCTTGGGAGTATGACCCCACCATGATTCTTTTTGTGTGGTGTTTTACTGAAGATGCACACACTGCTAAAAAAAACCCACACAGAAGGAATCTTCATACAGTACTCACATGCAAGTAGTTGTTCTGTGTATTTTATCACTGAACGTAAGTTCAGATGCCTGCCCGTAAAACACCAAGAAAAAAAGAATCTTGATCTCATGTCTTATGCGATTTATTTATTTATTTTTATTCGCGGTCATGTGTTTTCTCAATGCATACGCTTGTACATTTACAACAGTAAAGCAACACCAAAAGAAAGAAAAAATCTTGATATAAAAGCATGCAACAGATGTGTTTGTTTCTTTCTTTGCATTGCCTTACCAAGTCTAGAAGCACTGAGGCAAAGGAATCTTGATATAATAGTTTGCATGATCGCATCAAATTTGCATTTTACAGTCTTCTCCTTTATCAATTCTCATGTTTACATGCACACCAGTGAAACTCTACAAAAGGAAAAACATGTTGATTCACAGGTGTGCACCAGTTTAATGCCTGGGGTTGGGTTGGTTGCTCTTTGCGGTGTTTACCTGAGTGTGCAGGTAAAACACGGCAGAATAAGAGCCTTGATACAGTCTTGCATATAAGATAGTGTTTCTTTACAGTGTGCTTGTGTATTTGGTGATGTCGAATGAAAAACAGTATAGCTGAACTATATATAGCTGAGCTGAATGCTGTAGCAAACTGCGCTCTGTACAAATTTGAGGGGGTGGGGTAATGCATCAGTCCAGTTTGGAAACCAGATCCGATAAGACAGAACTCCACTATCCAAGGATCATTTCAGGAATATTGCTAGCGTGAATGGGTTAATTGTCAAATCAATGCTCACTTTGCACTCCATAAACTACTGGGGAGTTCCGTTAAATCCAGGGAAACTTACTTTTGGCTGAACATGTCAAGGAATATGGCAGACATAAATTCAAAGGTTATATTTCGCCGCTTTTAGTAACTACTTCCATTTCAGTACCTTTCTTTCTGATGAAACATACAGATCGATTAAAGCTTTTGATCTGATTTATACCTTGCCTTAATGCAATCAGCGCTGGAGTGCAAAGGAGCCAGTGTGATCTCTGGAGTCAGGATCAGGCTCCAATCAAGATCCCCCTACCCCAGGGAATCAGCTGCAAAAGCAGAGATGAAATCCAGAATTCCTATTAGCAAGCAGGTGGAGATAGCAAAGCAGGGGTTTGGAGAGCTCACTGTGCAACTGCTAAATATCTGAGAAGAATTCTTCAATATTTAATACAAAATCCAATATTCATTTCATGTTCAAGCTGATTAGGCATTAGCCGAACAAGAACAAGCGCCAAGACAGCTTGTTTGAAGAGGAGAGAGCTGTAAACTGTTAAAAAAAGACAACTATAAAAATTAAAGATAAATTCCAAGGGTAAATCTAAATGTCACACAGGGAGCTGTTATCCGTACGCATATGTTCCCTGTAATGGGTGCCTAGAATAGGTTGCAGCAAACTATTTCATCTCGCTGGCATGGCTGTACTTAAGTATCTGTTAACAGCTCTTCTCCAAGTGTGATCAGTCAAGATGTTACTGTACAGCAGTCCCCAGACTGGTCATGGTTCCAAGCCTGTGATTATTGTTTTGAGTGGTTTTACCCTCTTCAGCAAGAATTTTTAAAGGTCCCTCAGTTGCTAAATATTTCTGAACACCTGTTTATAAGTGCTTGCAATTTGCAAAACCCCTTTCAATTTCTGATTCGTTAAAATTTTTCACTATCAAATCGCTGATTAAAATATTTTGGTCTGATAACCTTAAAGTCACTTTAAAATGCCACCTAACATTAAAAGAATAACAAAGGCACAGAAAGGAAAGGAATCCACTTACCTGCATAGGGAACATAGGTACAAAATGAGTTTTTCTTCCAGCCTGTTGAAATAAAGCAGTTCTTTGCTGTTTATTGAAAGAGAAGCAGTGACAGAGCTAGGCAGGCCCCCCCAGTCAGCTTGGGCCTCATTCTGGGTGCCATAACCAAAAAGACCCTGTTTTCTTCCTACTCATCTTTCAAGTGCTCCAGTGCTAGATCACCCAGGAGGGGTTCTGCCTGGACGGGATAGGGTTAGATTCTGGATCTTTAGATTCTGGATCTTTAACTACTGACATCTTGTTGGCAATCATGAGGACTAGAATTTTAGGTTAAAATGTGTAGAACTTGAAATGCTGCATGACCAGCCCTTGTGAGCTAACATAACAAAAATAATGCTTGCTTGGGTTGATTTCTGGCAAAATTAATACTGCGTGATAGTCAGATTGTTTTCTTGAATAACAAATCTAGATATTCCCATTATATGTTATTAAATATGTACATCAATATTATTTTTAAAAAAACCTTTCTGCTCTATAATCTTTCACTTGACCCAAGTCATGTAACTTCATTTATTAATTCTACAAGCAAGGAAGAAAAATGACACTCAGTGATATATAAGATCTCGGGAGGATTCCGACAAATTCTCACGATTATTGGCATAACTTCTTTGCCCGGCTCCCAAAAGGAAAATAGATTCTGAGGCAGTTGAGATGTATATTATTAAACTCCTTAAGCAATGCAGAATAGTTCCCAGGGGCACAAAAACCCTTCTACATACAGAAAATCTAAGTTCTCAGGTTTAAGGCTCCCCTCCTCAACTCCCATTTGGTTCAGTCCCATAATATTTAACTCGTCATTATGGTCCCAGTGAAATAAATCAAAGCTTAGCATGACTTCCTGCTTCCATATCATTCTGCTAAAGACGCATAAGCAGATATATGACTCTTCATCGCTGTGGCTTCCAGTTTCACAGATTCCCTGAATCATTTCACTGAATCCACTATTCAGAGTGAATCAGTCTAATCCTCACACCCCAAAATAAGGCACTTTTCCTTGGCATTTCCCTCCTCCCTGACTTTCACAACAAGGCTTTTTGCAAAACGCCACTTAATGCCCGCACCCCTGGCAGGAACATTGCAAATGAAATGCAAGACATTCCACCATCTTAGATTTCCTGCAATAATCCAGTTTTGCATTGCTCCAGCAGAGGCTTTGTGGAAAAATTGAAATGTTGCCAGTAAAAAATCAGAAAGGAGGGTATCCTCTCAAAAAACATGTGCTCAACACAAATGTACCATTGCACATGTGGTTTTGCTCTTCCATAACTGGATAACTATACCTCACACACTGAGATTTCTGGGAGGTACCCACTGGCTGTCTGCTAAGATGATGAGCTGTGCTCCCATCTCCTAAGCACCTTTCCATGTTTCTTCTGAGTGGGGTATGTGTGGTTTCAGTATAAAAGTAAAGGTCATCCTACTTTAAAAAAACAATCAAAGCCAACAGTCAGCCCGACTGAGCAAAGAAGTGATAAGGCTAAAAACTGGTAGCATTTAAGGATAAGCTGACCTGGTTGACTCCAGTTTGGGTGTTTCCAATTGCCAGACATTTTCCTTTCCTTTGCCCCTCATTGATGGGATCTGGGCATGCCCCTCTTCAAAAAGGTAGGAAAAACCATCTGGCACAATTGATACAGTCCTCATTGGTAGACACTAGTCTACTTTTCCCCCCTTAGCCCTACATTGCGAGGGTTTTACGAGATCAGAGATGCATAAAGCATTCACATTTCTTGTTTGGAAGTGGCTTATATGTCAGCATATTTCCAGCCACTCTTGTATGATTAAATTAGTATCAAATTCAGGAAAGGGCATACAGTGCTGCACAAATGCAGGGAACTGATGACATTTGGAAGAGGATGGCCTGCTCTAGAATCCATGGATTGAATTCCTGGAAATCCAGCTATTTGACTCCATTTAGGTTTTTCTGGTACCCCTACTAGCATCTGAATTTACTGTTGAAACTTGGTGGCTTCCATGCTGGATGACTTCAGTGCTCCTGAGGCATTGCTTTTCCACAACCAGCTGGAAAGCAGAATTCAAGCAAGGTTTCACTTACCTATGTTATTCTCCAGTGTCTTTCCTGGTGGCCTCCAAAATGCTTACCCCCTGCCCAGCAATGGTCCTCTGCAATGTTGATTAGAATGTCCCTTCTTGTTCAGCAGCTTCTTGACTTGCCCGGAATTGCTTCCAAGCAGTCCACGTATCTTGCAATAGGTGCTCGTCACTATCATGAATGTGATGGTTTCCCTCCATTGTTCTTTTCTTACAGCAAAGTAGCCTTCAGTTTTTGTTTTCCCAGAATCTTTGCATCCAGTCGAATAGTTACTTACACCTGAACTTTGTTTTCTCCCACTCTCTTTTTCAGCTTTAAATGAGCCTACCATAGACTATGGTTTCCAAAGACTCCAGAAGGTTATCCCAAGACATCCTGGTGATCCAGAGCGACTAGCCAAGGTGGAGTGTTTTCCACATCTTTTCAGTACAGTCTGTACTTCCAAATTCTACTGTTGGTAGTTGCCATCTTGAAGGAACATTTCTGCATCTGACACACTGGATGGAATGCCTCTTCTAAGGCAATGTCATCTTAGAAAAGACGCCTTCTCCCTCAGAACTGGCATTCTATGCCATTCAAAACATATGGCAGTATATAGCCCAAGCTTGCATTCACACACACACACACACACACACGCACACACGTACTCGGAAAGGAAGTTGTGCTGGGATAAGAGGACTTTGCTGACCAGCAAATGGAGATAAGATTTCAGCAGTAAGCGACCAGGACAGGCCCACCCTTACGCATCAGGTGGAAGAGTGATAAGGTGTGCTGTTCTCTCTCCACCACCTTTGCCGGGAGATCCTGTTGCCGCCTCTCCGCTGCCTCCAGGAGGTACTCGGGAGAGCCCCTGGGCACTCCGCTGTTGCAGCAGGACTCCCCCTGCCAAAGGGGCTTTTTATCATTTTGGCACCAGGCCAAACCCTTTTTATTTTCCCAGTATTTTAAATATTAGTCTCATTATAAGATTGGATTTTATATATTATCATCTGGTTGCTATATCTTACGTATTTATTTTATTGTATTACTGCCCTGAGACACTGTGAAGCGTGGGATATAAAAGCCTTAAATAGATAAATCACGCATGGATCTACCCTAGTGGGTCCATGCCAAACCCTGCAGGGCCCTGCACAGAAACACTGTGCCCCCTGAAATAAGTGGTACAGTACCCTGCACGCAAGTCCCAGCATTTCTGGAATGGGATCCTCCGGCCACCGAATTGTGAGCTAGCCCCTTCTGATCATCCGTGTTTGCCCTTCTTGCCTCCTTGTAGGAAATGCTGTTGAAGCGAGCAGCTGACCTAGTGGAAGCACTGTATGGGACGCCACATAATAATCAGGTTAGAAGCTCTCCCACTCTCCTTTCTCTCTCCTGATGTTCAGTGACAATGCGAGAAATTGGCATTGCCCTTACTCTTTCTCCTCTAGATTGCCATAAGTGCATTGGAAGTTCTTATTTATTTATCTGTTTTATTTAAATCCTATCATGCCGTGTTGTTCCCTCCACCCTTCAAAACAAAACAAAAAAACCAAGACAAGAAACAAAACATAGCATTCTGGCAGCTAAATAAAAATCCAGATTAAAAACAAAATAAAAATTAAACATAGCATGAAAGCAAATACATTTATGGGCTAACAAGCAGCCGCACCAATCGAACGGGCAATGGCAACCGACCGGCTTACTTGCCGAAGGTCTGCCTCAGCAAAAACAGCCTTGCCTGCCAACAGAAGGGGGCCAACTGCTCCTCCCTCTGTAGGGAGCTGGAGATCCTGGAAGCCTCGAAGACACTGCCAGGCATGCCAAGTGGCATCCAACGTGGCCTGCCTCCTCTGGAGGCTCCTGGGCTTCTCCACCGTCCTCTTGCTGCCCTTTCTCTGCCACTCCAGACAGTTCATGGCTTCCTGCCGGGACATTTTGCAGAGGGGGCATGGGGGGTGTGGGAGGAGGAAGGGGCCCACAGGGCAGGGGCCCATGGAAGGCACCATGCCCAGGGCCCTTCCAAGACCAGGATGCGGTAACGCGGGAATTACTCCCACAACTGGGCGCATCACATGGACGCAGCCTGTGTATTCCATGCTGGCTAGCAGAGGAGAGACAGTTGTCCCTGTTCGTCCTCCTCCAGGCCTCTGAGCTCCTGAGTTGGCTGTGGGGGAAGCCATCCATACACTCGTTCCTGCTTTCACAGCCTCAGTAAGAGGCTCTGCACACACACACACATCCCTTTTAATTGCTATCTCTCTATACACACACTCACACACACAGAGGGAGAGAGTAGCATATATACTGAGTAACATGCTAAAACAAGAGTGTTTTGCATGACCATGTTGGCCAGAAAAAGGAGACTTCCTCTTCTCTGTAGCCAGCGAGTAAGCAGAGGCTAAGCCACCTCTAAGCTGATGGGTGTAAGGAAAAGAAGAAGATAAAAAGGAACAAAGGAAACAGAAGCAGGCTGGTAACTCGGGGGTTCAGCAGAGCCTGTCTGGTTCTGCCCGAGGCCACAGTCCCTTAGGAATGACCTGTCAGGGTCTTCAAGCTGCCAGAAGGCACGGTTGAGCCAGAGGTGAACTGGGCCTCTGCACGTAGCGCCATCCACTTTTCCGTCACTCTCCCTTTCTTCGTTCCCCTTCCAGTCTACCTGGAACACTGTTGCCAAGCATCGGAACTGCTTTTGAGATTAGGTGGCTCACCAACCAGCCTCAGCCCCAAGCTTGTCCACTCCTGCTTGATGGCCAGATATTATGCTCAATGTACATTAAACACCTATGGCTTCTCTTCATGTTTACTCGTAGTAGGTCCAGACACCGAGAAGTGCCTCAACTCCCATGTTAGGGTCCCAGTCCAGATCAGATGCCCTGCACCTTCCCTGGGGTAAACAGGAAGCACAGAAAAGACAAACATTTAGGGAAGAATTGTATTCATGTTTAAACAAACAAGCAAACATCCCATAGTTCCCAGCACGATGGCTGGGGAATGCTGTGAGTTGCAGGACTTCCTTCTGTTTAAGCCTTGATAGGCTTCCTCTGTTAAGTAATGCCTGTTTTAGCTCCCAGATGAATGCATGGAGATTGGAAACGGCAAGAGTTTATCAGTGTTGCTTTTTTTCCTGCCATGTACAAGCAGACACAGACACACACACTGTGCTGAATATCCACGAAGGGATTCTTCCTTTTTCCTGTACATATTTTTGTGAGTGTGCCTGGGGATCGCATGTATCCTGATCTCTCGTTTGTTGCATGTAGGACATCATTCTGAAACGAGCTGCTGATATTGCAGAAGCTCTTTATAGCGTCCCGAGGAATCCTGGTCAAATCCCTACTTTGTCCAGTTCTCCTGCTCACACCAGCATGATGGGCATCAATTCCTACGGCAGCCAATTAGGAGTCAGCATCTCCGAGTCAACACAAGGGAATAATCAAGGTAAAAGAACCAATGTTGGGCATACCTAAGATGCAGCAGTTTAGCCAATGAAAGTCACGAACGCTGGGAGTGTCTCTCTCTTGCCTAGGTCATTCAACAAGATGTGATTTCTAACTTTGTTAATTGCCAGTCATACATCAGCCAGTGATGCATTTTGATGCTGAGAATGCCACGGCCATCGCCTTGGCCCTGGTTGATCTCCACCTCGTGTCACTATTCAGTTCAGTTGACCAAGATTTACCCAGTTTTCACCACCCAGACTGAACATAAACTCTGATACCATCTGCATCAGATGTATGGTCATACAAAAGTCATACATTCCTGACCAAACAATGTGATTCACAGACAACCTGCAAAAAGAACGAAACACGATTCACAATCTGAGTCAGAACAAGCTTCCGGGTAGAATTAAGCAAACTTTGATGAGTGTAAGTTCTCCTGAACAGGTTTTGCTAAGTTTTTCATTCCATCCCAAGCCCATCAGGCCAGAGGGGGGCAAAAATGTGTGTGTGCACTCTTAGGGAAGCAATGCCTGTCAGAAATGCCTTTAAGGAAATTCCCTTCAAAGTCATCTCTGCCTCTGACCTAAGCCATCTCTCTAGCTCAGGATCATTAATGCCAGAAACATGGGTTGCATGAAGATGTTTCTCCCTTCTACACATTCCAAATGGTTAAAAAAACCCTTTGTGCAAGAGTCTCCCCTCAGTCTCTGTTGAAATCACTGAGAAGTTACAGCCTTGACCACAATTTGCAGCAAATCCCATGTTAATGTTATAAACATTAAAAACACAAGTGTGCTAATTTGTTCCAGATCTCAAAAACACCCTTTCACATTCTTTCAAACAATCAGATGTGATCAGCAAAATGTACACATGTTGTCAAACAAGGGCATGTTTGTGTCAGGCAATGGAATATGCTTACGGGGTGAGAAGGATCTGAGAGAGATCTTGTGCAGTGATCCTGTCTTTGGATGCAGCGGTCTGGTTCTGGAGTTCGTGCCAGCATTAGCACACTCTTTGGCACAGAGGCCTGAACGGGCAGGCCCTTAATTCAGAGTTACACCCCTGAAATTTCACAGCTCCCTGGAGGGGAAGACAAAGAAGGTTGCCCTCTTTCTGACCGCTTCATTCTGTAGGAGCAGGTATAGGATGTGCTGTTCACAGGGATCAACGGAAAGCACGTGAAGATTGGAGGAAGCCTTTGGGTTCACTTCGACCAAAGAGTCCTGCTGGACCAGGCCAAGGCCCAATGTCTTGAGCCCAATCCCGGGTGTTGTTAATCTATAAGCCCCCACATAACTTGGATTCCCAGCCACCAAAAGGAATATCTCTTCCCTTAGAGACCATTGCATGTATTAAGTCCAGCTGGGACACCATGTTTTCCATACTACTGCCTTCAGAAGTTCACAGGATAGCAATGTGCGAAAAGACCTTTTCCGCAATGGCCTCAAGATGCTGGAATTCTTTCCCACTGGAAATGCCTCTGGTGTCTTCATTGCGTGCATTTTGTTGGCAAGTCAAGGCAGACCTCTATATCCAGCCTTTGGAAGAGGATGAAAAATGAGGTCATGTTGTATCTCCCTGTACTGATGGTGCAGTCTGACCTTTTTAAAGACCTTAAATTATAGAAACATAGAAACAGAGCGAGTCAGAAGGGTGCTCCCAGGCCATCTAGTCTGACCCCTAGCTCCAGCCGGCTCCACTCACAACATGCCTGCCATGTGCATGTCCAGCCTGTCCTTGAACATCCTCACCAATGGGGTCTTAACCACCTCCCATGAAAGCCCAATGCATACCCTAAGGGTCCTAACTGTCAGGAAATACTTCCTGGCAACCAAATTGAGCCTTGGTTCCTTGAGCTTGGCTCTGTTGGAGCGTGTCCTGCCCTCCTCTGCAGGAGATCAGGTCTCTACCCACCTCCGTGTGACACCCCTCACATACCTATATGTCACCAACAGACTCCCTCAGAGTCTCCTCTTCTCCAGGCTGAAAAGATCCAGTTCCCTCAGTCTCACCTCATACAGCTTTCCCTGCAACCCAGCCACCATCCTTGTGGCCCTACACTGCACTGACTCTATCCTGGCTATATCCTTCCTGTAATGTGGAGCCCAGAACTGAACACAATATACCAGTTGCGGGTGCACCAGAGTCGTGTAGAGTGGCAGTAATACCTCTCTCGATCTTGAAGCCACACTTCTGGCTATGCAACCAAGGGTGGCGTTCGCCCTCTTGCTAACTCACGTTTAACCTGAAGTCAACCAGCACACAGAGATCCCTTTCACAAGGGCTGCTCTCCAGCCACTTGTCCCCTTGTTACATATGTCCTCTGACCCCAGGAGGAGTGGAATACAAATTATTACATTTAATAATGTAAATAATATTATTTACATTTATTATTAAATGTAAATAATAAATCAGCAGGTATCTAGATCCACTCCATGCCATGGGCAAACAAGTAGGACCTACGGGCAAAAGCTTTGTCCTTGTACAGGGTAGGCAATGTGGTTGACTTCCAGCAGGGCCACTGGTCAGGGATGGTGGGGTAATAGTCCAAGCCATCTGGAAGAAACCAGGTTGCCCACCCATTTATACTTGTCTCCAGCAACCGGGAATTCAGGGATGTGCCACCTTAGAACAAGGGCCTTGCTTTTGGCTGTGGTGGGCAATGATCATGATTCATCCATACATTTCTTTTCCATGCCAAACAGCATCAGGAGTGTCTTCCCAATTTTTAGTCAAAATTCTCTTATTGTTTCAACTCATCATTTGGGCTCTACCTTCTAGAGCTGCAGGAAACAATTTTCTTTCATGGTGTAATGGGAAAGACTGTGTGGTGCAGTGCTTAAAGCATTGTCCTGGGAACCCGACTCTAGTCCCCACTCAGTCATGGTGCTCCCTGGGTGACTTTGGACCAGTCAAATACTCTCAGCCTTACAGGACTGTTCTGAGGATAAAAGGGAGAGGAAAAGGAGAATTGTGTGAGCCACGTGGCCCCTTGCAGGCTCAATGTAAGTATAAGCAGAAATAGAGAGAGTGTCTTAGTCCCCTTTTATAGCCATCTCAGGGACATGCTGGTTAAGAGAGAATTCCACACAATGGGCATTGTTTGTGTCAAGGATTTCAGAGCCACTGCAGTTGCAGGTGAATCTTGGACTGGCCACTTGCTCAGCCTGAGCTTCCTGAGGGCACAATCTGCTGTGTATTTTGACTTGAAAAAAGTCATTTAACTTCCAACATTCCCTGGGCAGCATGGAGAATTCCCAGCATTACACCGCCAGGAAAACATGCTTACAACTCCCAGAATTCTCCATCTGTGTCCTAACATGCAGAAGATTATGTGCTTATAAGGTTATTGTGTGACTAAAAGAGATGGTTGAGATCCTTTGAGTTTGCTAGTCACCCTGAGATCAATTATGTATTTATTTATTTATTAGATTTATATCCTACTTTCCCCCCAATGAATTCAAAGTGGCTTACTTCATTCTCCTGCTGCTCTGAGTCACAACAACAACCCTGTGAGGTAGCTTGTGCTTAGAGTTTTTGTTTGGTTGAAATTCACCCAGGTAGCTCCATCGCTGAGTGCAGGCTAGAAACCAGACGGCCTGAGCCCCAGTCCTGTGCTCTAAACCACTCCACCACACCGGCCCTCTAGACTGAACTTATGGATGGGGCAAAAGGCTTAAGTAAATAAGTGTTTTCTTTTGTCTACCCTGAATTCATTTGCCTACTGTGATTTCTCCTCCTCCTCCTCCTCCCTAAAGTACCAACGTGCCTTCACCTGCTTTTTTTCTTTTGTTTAATTGCTCCCTGTTGCCTACTTTGGTCAAGTATAAACGGGCTTTCCCAAGCCATATGGGTGGCAAGAGCACATGATTCAAAGGACACACCCTGCTGATGAATTTGGGGCACAATCCATCAGGACGTCTTTTCTTTTCTTTTTTACAACCTGCACATAGATGAGACATTTTTATGGTTCCCAAGAGTTCACTCTGTGTTTGGTTTTCACTCCTCCTGAATCCTGGTTGGACTAGACAACCTCTAACATCACTTCCAATTCAATAATTCATTGATCTTTAATCTGAGCGATCTTTAGGATTTGGATTCTGGGGAATATCTTAAGTTATTGTATGGTTGTCCTGAGATGGCAATATTCATCTAAGCCAGCCACCTCCATTCTTCTGGGAAAGATGAACAGCCACTTCTGCCTTGCACCCATTTTTAGGCAGCTACCCGCTCTTATCCTAATCTCCATTCAGTTTTTTCATTAGTTCTCATGGAATCCGGTTTAAGAATAGGAAAGAGATTTGTTGTGCTTGTGTGTTACTATGTGCTATCCTAATTTACAGCTTCCAAGTGAATATGCAGACTAGAACCAGAATTACCTTTTGGTTCTGAATTTTGTGAGACAGCTTTGCAATAAAAAATTCTAGTTAGGGGAAGCAAAATGCAGGAAAGGCACAACTTGCTTTCAGAAAGTTATAGGAAATTATGTAGAAATATTAGTATGTATTGTCCAGTCAGGTTTAAAACACACATTTTTTAAAACGATTCTGATACACTAATGGGATGGCATGAACTTTTGCAAGGGAACATTGCAGAAAAGAAAGCAGACAGATTTAGCCATCCTTGGTCCAGGTAATTGAAGACTGCCTGACTGAGAGAGATCAGCCTGCCGTCCTCATCAGTGGGCACTCAGCAAATGCTTATTTCTTGTAGGTTACATCCGCAACACAAGCAGCATCTCCCCACGAGGTTACTCTTCTAGCTCGACCCCTCAGCAGTCTAATTACAGCACTTCCAGTAACAGCATGAACGGTTACAGCAACGTCCCCATGTCTAACCTGGGTGTTCCTGGCTCGCCTGGATTCATTAACGGCTCTCCCACAGGATCTCCCTATGGCTGTGAGTCCTCTTCCTTTCCCTTCCCTTCCTCCGCGCTGACCTTGGGTTTGATTTAAGCCAAGAGGCAATCTGCCGGAAAATTCTCGTTCCCTTCCTGGGTGGGTTGCCAGAAGGTTTCTCAGTGCCGCAGTTGGAAACTTAGTGCAGATCGGCTGCAGGGTGGACCTTCAGGCCACGCGGCCACGCTGCCGTCGCCTTGTCCCTCCCTGTGGCAAAGAGGCCTGGCAGGAGGGGCGTGCATTGGTGTAGGCTGAGGGTCAGGCCTGGAGGCCGCCTCGGGGACGTGCTCTGGATGCCCACCCTGAACTCTGGGCAGCTGGGGCCGGAAGCTCCCTTTTTTCCTCAGTAGTCCTGGCATAACACTGGTGTCTCCGCCAGACTGGCATTGCCCCCTTCCGCTGGCACTGCCTCCACCAGGGAGGGTGGAGAAATCTCAGCACCTTTGCTAGAGGGCATGCTGCCGTGGCCCTCGCTCAGACGTAGCCTGGGTCGGACTCTTTCCTCTAACCCGCAAGCATTCCATGTTCTCAGACAAGCTGCAGGTCTCCCTTGGCCTCACTCCTCACTGCTTCTTGGTGCCATTGCAAAGAAAGGTTTTTGACGTGGTCTGGATCAGGACCTTCTAAGCCCCACAACCTTCCTGGTTCCAGTCCAGATAAGGAGCCCCTACAGCTGTTTCCAACTTTAAAATCTACTGGGTCGGATCCTGAGGTGGTCTTGTTTCATGTAGACCCATGGAAATCAAGGTGACTTAGACATGGCTAACCTGTCTGATTGATTTTGGTGGGACTACTCTAAGTTTGGATCTGACCCCTTATAATAGCATCAATTCTAGTATTGTCCCCAATACTGGGAACGGGAATAGACTCAACGGGAGAAAGATGAAGGCCATTTTTAATGTTACATTTTGTTTTCAGGTTTCAATGCCCAACTCCTAAATACATAGAAACATAGAAACAGAGTGAGTCAGAAGGGCTCTCCCGGGCCATCTAGTCTGACCTCCGGCACCAGCCTTGTGCCAAAATATGCTGGTGTGTGAAATAAAGGGATATTCTGTCGTTATTGCTGTTATCATCTTTCTATATTGCCCAAATGCCTAAGCTCTCTCGGTGGCTAACATTATGGCATACAGGCAGTGTTTAAATCTTAATGTATTGTTTTATTGCTTTTATCGGTTTTATCTTTTGATTGTTCAGTGCTCTGGGATCCATCTAGATATGGAGCAGTATACAAACTGTACAGCTTAATGCATAATATAACACACGGACGTTATCACACACTCAAAGACAGGCCTGTGAATTTCATATCTGGGTGCCTGCAGCCCAGCACAACACTGGTAGTCAAAGACAAATCTTCATAAATTACAGACTGGGAGTAATTTACACACGCCCCAGCTGAAGAAGCTCAGCGCTCTGCCTGTATGACATATCATGTCTTTCTGCAGAGTTTGCCACTCGCGGTTGTGGCTGTTATTGCAGCTGCTCCCACAGGGGCATTTAAAGGGTTTCTCCCCGAGGACGCAATTCGATTTTGGCAACACTCTTGGATGCCGCATTACATGGGTGGATGGGCCAGGGGCAAGGTGGCAGGGTCAAAAGCAGAAGGGATGAGTGCAAAGCAGGGGAAGCTGGTGGCTTCAATGCGATCAAGGTGATTTATGCAGAGAACTCTCCGTGGTGCTGAACCCTATTCTCAAATGAGGTGTGCCGCCATGAATAAGGTCAGGTTGAAATCCAGAGTGGATGCCCCACCCAAACAATGTTGGAGCCACAGTCTCTTCTGGTGTAAAATACAATATAACAACCAGCATGATACTGCCAATGGCTAAGCTTCAGGGGAACCTTTCCATTGCCTCAGATAGGAAAACCCCACATACACATGCACAACTGGAAACCATCCAAAAATGAGTGGCCATTTGGCCAACCATCCAAAAAAGGGAAAGGGCTTTGGGCCAGTGGAAGGGGATGGGACGATCCAGGTAGCCTCAAAGGGCTGCTTTGGGACACCAGGTGAGCCACATTTGGCCCATGAAGCTTAGCTTGAACACTGCGTGACTGATGCATCCCACCTGTCCAGTGTTGTGACCATTTTTCCCATCTAAACATTCAAGGGATTGTGCCCAAGCTGTGACAAAATTCCTTCTGAGCTTCAAGTCAAGCAAATATTTTTCGTTTAGATCCATAAAAAGAGGATGTTAAGTGACATAACGGCCAGTATCCTTGGTAAGTGTTTTACAGAAAACACAAGATGGCGGAGGTCATTTCTTACAGTGCCCTTCTAAGAAAGAAGGTTGCATAAGGTTGGGTCTGAATTCTGTAAAAGCATTCCTACATGGGGATTGACTAATAAGGTCAAAGCACCTGGCTTTCCAATGATATATGGATACACCCTGGGAAATCCAGAAGGATAGGTGGCTGGCATGTTTGTCAGATTTTTGCAAACACAAGAAGCTTTAACTGAAATTTTGACATAGCCGTGATCTTGATTTGTGAAAAAAACCAAGACCTCTCACAAGGGTCTGTAATGCAGTTACCCTCTCATGCAAAACAAAAATTTCAGGTAGTACAGTTCTGTAGTTCCTAGACAGCATCTAAATGATCATAGGACCTTTTGGAGTCCCAGCTGTGAGGTTGGAGATGGCTCTGACCCCCTAGCTGATGACTGAGGTTGGGAACATTTTGCCCTCACCTTGCAGCTGGTAAGGAAAGAGCTATGCTGGCTGGATCTCCAAGGTCACAAGATCAACCTCAGATGTGGGGCTTGGGGGTTATTATGGAGGGGAGGCAGGGAGGGGAGAAGACTGATCAAAGTCAACCCTCTAAGTGTTTTGCAGAGCATGAGAAGCTCAGAGGAAACTTTAACTTATAGGCATCCCCATTGCATTCCACTATAAACCTCTTTTCTCTCAAACCATGCATTTCTAAATGTGTTTTATCCTAAACTATGCATATTTATACTTTTTCTTCCTTTGCAAAGTTTGGAAGCATGAAATCTAATTGATAACTGTGTCCCAGTCCTCAAGTTAGTTCAAGAATTACTTCAAAATTCTGGGTGAATGCAATCCTTAAGCATCCCTCCATCTAAAATGTTGTTTATTGATTCATTACAAGATTTTAAGACCTCCATTCATCCTTACAGTTGCCAAGGCAGTGTGCAAATGTGATTAAAATGATATGCAGTACACTTCAAATAGCAAGATCCCATTATCTTCATAAAATTATAGAAACAAGAGAAAGGACAAAATCAAGTAATGAACAGACTAGGCAGAAGGGAGGTTAGCTGGCAGTGGAACAATGGTAACATTGGACTTTGATTTCCTAACCATACATATCTGTATAGGTCTACTCAGAAGTCTGTCCCACCGAGTTCAGTGGCACTTATTTCCAGGTAAAGATCTATAGGGTTTCAGCCTGAGAATTATTTGGACATTTTCCAGCAGAGGAGACGAGAAGTAGGGTTTGCCCTGCAATGAAGTAAGGCAGAAAAGGAAGAACTGGTGACCAGGCCTTGATCCAAAGAACTGGCACAGACACGAGAGCTCTCCTGTGGTGTAATTATAAAACTATGCAAGCCACAAACATGCATCTGACAAATTTGCCCAGAACAGAAAGGCGTATATAAGCCTATCTAAATCAGTGTCCTCTCTCCCATGTTGCAGTTGAAAAGAAGCAATTCCAGGCGGATCCTTCGCTTTTCTCTCTTTCTACTCCCTTCTCTGTCTGTCTTTATGGGGATCATCTCTATGGAAAGGTATTCAGCTCCTTTTAAGCTTCTGCTGAGATTTTCAGAGAGTTTCCAAATAATCAGGTAGCACCCAACAGGCATTGTCAGGTTCTTTTTAGTTTTCTCGTCAGATTCCTTTTTGTTTCCTTCGAGAGCACAGGGATTTGTCTCCTTCGAGAGCAGTATGAGCTGTGTGGTTAGAAGAACCCACGCCTTGGGCCTTCTTTGGAAGAGAGTAGAGGAAGCTTTGCAGGGGAAGGATTCTTGTGTGAATGCCCATGGGCGTTGCATGTGCTCGAACAGGGGACCATTCTCTTTTCTTTTCCTTTCTTTCAAAGCATAGCACCTTCTGATTCTGGAGTTTATATCAAAATGGCTGTAGCAATGCATTGTTCGGAGTTAAGCATGTCTATGCAGAAAGAAATCTTACCAAAGTCAGGGGAATTACTTCCAGGAAAGTGTGCAGAGGCATCTCCTAGGACTGGAGACCTGCATCTTTCCCCTGGGGCCTCAGGTTTCCTTATGCCCCACCACCCTGCTCTCCATGGGCACTGGATGAAATAAAGGCACCAGAGCCCTGAGGATCTCCACTGAAAGCCCTTCTCCATGGTTGCTCTTACGATCATAGAGAAGCAGCGGTGTGCTTCTTTCCATGCTAACTGCAAGCAGGGAAAGATGCTCTGAGTCCCAGTTCCAAGCTCAAAGCTGGACTCTGAAAAATCCTAGGCCCCCATCAGCCCTGTCCTGGGGCCACAGACTTGCTTCTTTCAGCCCATCGCATTTAGCCTTCAACTCTGCCCTTTCCAAGCCCAATGAAAATATTGTAAAACTATCAACTAATCTGCATCACAGGCCATCACTGCAACATAACATGGTCTGCAATACGTCCATCTTTCCAATCAACATTAACAAAGTGCAGTTTGGGGTCTTTGCTTCTAGCCTCCCCTTCAATGGAAGAAATCAAGTCATATCACTGGATTCGTTTCACTACTGGAAAAGCAGCCTGCAGCCTACAGGCATGGCTCCCATGTAAATTATTCCATTTTTCATTGCCTTCTTCCAGGAAGCTGCCTGCTTGCAGCATCATAAATGGAGAAACAACTATATTCGATGTTGTCACATTCTCTTAAAAATGCAGCACATGATCGTGAAAACACACTCTAGCCATGGCAAAGTTTTCTGTTTCTGCTCTGACCACCCACATCCTAAGTGGGGGAGGTTGTTGTTATTTGTTTGGGTTTTTTTTTAAGGAAGGGTAGACCCCTGAACTGCAACTGTCCCATTACTAGGTGAGACTTACAAGTTTTTGTTGTGTCAGACTTTCCTGCATTCATGACTGGCCAGGCTGAAGGAGACAGATACTTGGGAAAACATGTAGCATTGCTGGGCTGAAATGTGAAATCCTCCAAGCTGACATTCAGTCATTTAACACTGTCATTTATTAACCACTGACAACCATTGAATTGTTTTCATACAATTTCTCCAGCCCACATTTCAGAATGAGAACATCGTGAGGTCTGTTGTTTTGTTTTGTTTTTTTGTAAAAAATAATAAGTTGCCTGTTTGAAAGAGTCACCCTCCAAGAAAGAAATTTGAAACGTCTATTGCTTTTGCACAGAGAGTTTAAAAATGGCCAAACAGATGTTTGAAGGATTTTTTTTAAACTTACAAACTCCACTTCCTGGCTGAGTTATGTGTGCCAAGTTTCAGCTCCAGGGAAAAAGAGAGAAATTTTTACAGCTGAGTTATAAACCCCTGACAATAAGGGTTTACAATGAGATGCTGACAGACCCTGAAAAAAGAAAAGAAAGGAAACGTTCAGTCTCTGAGAAGAATATGTACAGACCAAAATCCAGCTGTGATTGTGTGGGCATGTCATGAATTTGTGCAAAACAACATGAGTATTTCAGTCCAAAATGGATTCCCAGGCCTGGGTGCTTTTAATCTGACACATTTCTTACCATTTCAGAGCCCTTCCTCAAAAGCACACTGTCTACATCAGGGTAGGGGACCCATGGCCCAAGACCTCATGAAGCTCCTCTCCTGATTTCATCCCCCCCCCGCCCCCGCCCGCCAACCGTCCCATTGCCTCGCCACTGGATTTCCCCTCGGAAATTCAGCCGCAAGGCAGCCATGTGGCAATTTGTCTTTAAAACACGATGCAGGGGGCAGACACCTTGTTTTAAACCCGAATTGTCCTACTGAAAGCATCCAGAGAGTGTGATTTCAGTTTAAAACAGAGTGGATATTCCCCACATGCCCTGTTTTAAAAGGAAATCAGTAGGGTCTTTTTTCCCCTGCCAGCATGCCCTAAAGTCGCAGAAAATTGCAGAGGACATGGAAATGGAATTGCGGCCTCCCACTGGGGTCGGGGCGGTTAATTGGAGCCCGAATCCTTGGAGGTTGCCTACTGCTACTATAAAATGTACTTCTCCGACTTACACATGGGCTGGATCGCAACTCCAGTCATGTCTAGGGAAGATGGGAGTGGCAGCCCATTGAGCGGAGAGACCTTCAGCTTGCCTAGCCTACATCTTCATGATCAGTAGCAGCATTTGCATGTTTATCCCACGTTCCTTCCTCTTGCAAGGAACCCAAGGTGGTGCTTCTCCTCTCGATTTTCTCCTCCCAACAATAGCCATTGGAGGCAGGTGAGGCTGAGAGGCACCGACTGGCCCAGAGTCACCTGGTGCGCTTCATGGCCAAGCGGGACTAGAACCTGGATTTCCCAAGCCTCCAGTCCAACACACTAATCACTGTCAAGAGCTGATGTGGTGCAGTGGTTAAGAGCATGGGACTGGGACTCGGGTGATCCGGGTTCTAGTCCCCGCTCAGCCATGGAGCCAGCTGGGTGGCTTTGGGCCAGTCTCAGCCCAACCTACCTGACAGGGTTGTTGTTGTGGGGATAAGATTGAAAGCAGCAGGAGGAGAATGACAGAAGCTGCTCTGAGTTCGTTGTAAGAAAAAAAGGCAGGATACCAATTTAATAAATAAAACAGAACATAAATATACCACATATTACAGGTGGAAATCAGGGAAAAACATGTGTTATGTCAGCAATGTTGAATCTGTTGTAATCAGTGCTGTGGTAACTATACCCTGATAATGAATCAAGGAATAATGGTGGGGGAGGACTGGTGTCCTCGTGTCTCACTGGTATGGGCTTCCCCTAGGCTGGTGTAGGAAACAAAATGGCAGCCTAGACTGGCCTTTGATCTGAGCTAGCTGAGAGTCGCTCTTGTGCTTTTATGCCACAGCCTTTCAGAGGTGTTGCCCCCATGTGAAGGACAGATGCCAGCCTCCCATGAAGAAAGCAGGTCTGCATGCCATCCAGGTGTTTGAACTTAAGACTCCGTGTGCACATGACTGTCACCTGTGACTTCATGGCCAGGAGGTGCTGCCGTTTCCAACCAGAACTTGTCTGGAGATGATTCCCCCCCTCCCCAGACACACCAGCTGCCCCACCGTTTATGTATTAATTGCACCTGTGATTTGCCTTCCTTCCATGGAGTAATGGAAACATCTGTGAACATAATTCTATCTTTCCTTTCAACAACCCTATGAGGTAGGCCAGCCTGAGAAGACATCTAATAAGATTCAGGGATGACCAGGACTTTTAGCAAAAGACCCCTGTCCATATCTTGTATCCATTATACTACATAGGTTCTCATGGAAGCATTGTGACCCACGACGAGTACCCACACAACAATTCTTTAGTTCTTTGTGGTACTTGTTAATTTGTTTTATTTTCTAATACTAACTGGGGCTGTAGAGATCTTTCAGGTTCAGTTTTATGTAAAGCTCATTTTTCTACTGCTTAATTCATTCCATACTGGTTCTGCACTGAATTACCTTTTTTAAAAATCCACTCAAAAAACTGCGGGCATTTTAGTGTCTCTTCATTACTGTTTTGTGTTTTTGTACACCTTTCCCCCCAGAACATTTGCATATTTATGTGCACTTTATATTTCCCCTTCCAACCAAATCATACGTTCTCTGCACACTTGAAAATGTCTGCATTTTGTGTACATTTATGAAATACACAGATTTTTAACAAATTACGTATTCAAAACATATTTTCATACCCATTGTTTTATGAGCCATCTGACAAAGTTAAGAAGTATGTGGATTTTGCTAGGCATGGTGTCCTGGTTTGTGTTTTACATCAGTTCTCACTGGAATGTGAATGGAACAAATGTCTCACCCATCCCTAAAGTTACATGTGTCAAGCCGAGGAAATACCCAAAACCATTGTGACAGAAGCAGCGAAGAGCCGCTGCTCAAAGGGTGCAAGTCCTCCCGGGCCTCCTCGAACATGCTTTGTTGGGTTGGTGGGACGGAGAAGAGGGCAGATGTCTCCAGTCCACTTCCCTACTGAGCTTCTCTTTATCCCAACCACATCTCTGTTTCCCCTTCCTTAGTGATGTCCTCAAGTCCAACAGTTGGCTCCTCTAGCACTTCTTCCATCCTCCCGTTCTCCTCCTCGGTCTTCCCTGCCGTCAAACAAAAGAGTGCCTTTGCTCCTGTCATCAGACCCCAAGGATCCCCCTCCCCGGCTTGTTCCACTGGCAATGGAAATGGGTTTAGAGGTAAGAAAACTCTGCTTGTTCCTTTCACTGCCACAGGCACCCAGACACCCACCTCTAAGTGTACAGTATGCTTTGTACTATCAACTGACAGAAAAGCATTTGATATTTACAGAAAAGCTGGCAAGGATTCCTACTTCTTGCAGAACCACAACGCTTGTGAAGCTAATTCATAGTATTTACACATGTTGCGGGAATCTTAAAATGTGCGGTTGGCAGGGCTGTATCTACAGAATGGGCTGTAGATACTCCTTTCATAGAAGATTCCAGAGTCTTCTCTGATTTTCAGATCTGTCTAGTCCCTAACCTTTCTATTTTTGAAGATATGTGGAAAAAGAATACTGACCAATTAATCAGTAAGATAAAGAACTGTTAACAGTCCTATACAGCCATTCACCTTCACACATATGTGCTAAAACTCAGTGCATGGCAGGAATAGACTTCCAATCCTTGTCCCCTACACCCCCCAAAGTTGCAGGGTTCGCAGAAGGTCTCCGTGCATTAGGCACAGTGGTCTGGAAAGGGTTCCTAAGCATTCTCAGTGGAAGATGCATAGATGTCTTGGTGAATCAGGAATGCTGACCAGGCTGGGATCCCTGGCACATGGCGTCTTTGACATGCAGTCCGGTGAATTAACTTAGAAACCCTTTTCAGGCCTTGGTACAAGGCCATGCATCTGGGGTTGTCATGTGCTCTCCAATGAGAGTACTGGGGTAGTGAGCTGACAAATATGAAAAAATCCATCTATTATCCAGTGAAGTAATTGATAATGAGGTACAAGAAATAAGCTAATCAGTAATATCTTTATTTCTTTATTATTTATTTGTAAATTGGTGTTGTTGAAGCATGAAGTTTGGACACACTAGGCTACCTAAATCAGGTCTTTTGCTTCCCCACCCCTTCCACTGCAAAATGTTGAATTATGGCAGCCTTCTTCAACTCAACAGAGTTTCTCCATGAACAGAATTATTCAGGGATGTAAGCAAGGCAACGAGATTCTGGGAGTATAATAATACTGAATAGGTTATTTTAAAAAAAGAAAAAAAAAGAGCCCCTCCACAGGTCCAAAGTGTGTGAGAAATTGCTCCTGAGGCCATCAGAGGTTTGCCTTCACAATAATTACTGTTCAAACACACAGCATTTTAGCATAGATGGGGACACAATTTCTGTTAGTGGCTAAGTTGTGCCCAACCCATCACAACCCCATGGACAACATTCCTCCAGGCTCTCCTGTCCTCCACCGTCCCTTGGAGTCCACCAAGCTCACGCCCACAGATGGGGACACACACACACTAGTAAACGTCCACTTCTGCAAATGTTATTTACAGTCTATTTATCTCTCTTCTGGTTGGTAATTTAATGTTCAAATGTTCAGTCTGGAGTTGAAGGTAGATTTTCACCAGTGCCTGCTTAGGGCCGTGCTAATCAGCAAACAGGAGCTTGCCAAAGTTCTCCAAATTCCATCTCAAAACTCATTTTGACTGAAGTCCTTATCAGAATGAAGGCATCGTTGTTGTTGTTGTTTTCTTTCCACGTGCAAATCCTTGTGTGTACTTTTCCAGTAATTGTATCAATTGTGTGCATCTTTGAAATGTAAGCATTCTTCTCCCGTTGCTTCTCCCAAATGTCTGTGAGGGCATTTTTCAGAAGGATGTGTTTTTCTGCCTGGCAGGTAGCAGGCCGCCAAATGCAATATTTTAGTCTGCAAATCATGGACTTTGACTACAGATTGAGGCCAAGTCTGTGTTCAGTTCAGAAGGTGCAAACTGGATTCCTGACAAGAGGAAAATGTGGGATATAAAAGGAGGAGGAGGAGGAAGAGTCCTCATCAAAGCAAGATTAAATATCTTATCAACCCTAGCTCAGCTCAGGAGTAGAGAATGTTTTTTTAGCTCAAGCACCGTGGGCATGCGTAAAAGTAGGCGTGGGCACAGCAACGTTCTTACCTCTCCTCGTCCTTTCTGTCTGTCTCTCTTCTTCTCTCAATCCTGTTTCCCCTTACCTTGCTCTCCTCTCTGATCTCTCTCTCTCTCTCTCTCTCCTGTTCTCTTTCATCCACCCTCCTCCACCTTCTTTCCTTTTCTGCACAGCAATTACACTCAGACAAAAGTCCCTTTTTCTAGCAAATTGCCAGGGTCCTGAGAAGGGCCTACAATTTTGGGGAGGAGGAGCTGCAGTGTGGCAGGTGAGTGAATGCTTCCCCCACTCCTCGACTCATGACCCAACATTGGCACTTCGCCTTCAAGCGTTGCCTTCGTGTAGCGGGAAAGAGCTCCTGCGTGAAGCATCCCATCGAGTTGTTTGGAATGGTGGGTGTCCACCTGGGCACAGAAAAGATTTGTAAGGGCCTCATAAGTACACATTTTGGCTGGCTATCTTAGTGATCCCAACCTCTATTTATTTATTGCCACTTCTTGTATTAAAGAGCAATTTCCCCAGCATTTTGAAATGATACATTTATTTATTTGACTAGTAGCTGGCAGAAAAGGGCACACACCAGCCAACTTAGAGTCATAGCTATTTTTTTTTTTTAATAAACCGTGGTTCAAACAAGAATGAAATCACAACTGAAAACATGGGAATGCAGTAAAAACAACGCCGGACCCAACAGAGCAAGTGACATGCCAAAAGTGCACTTGACGAGGAATGCCATCGCTCGCTGCCAGGACAGCCGAGAGAGAACCTTGGGGGGGAGCCGGTCATGGTCAGGGGCTGCTGCTGTTTCCAGGCTAGACAGAGAGAAGGTGCTCTTTCGGGGAACCTCTTTCCAAGAAGTGTAGGGCTTTGACTTAGGGATGTGCAGGGACTCTGTTTGGGGGTGGGAAGCCACTGGCTCTGCTCCCCAGACTCTGGTCTGCTGCGCAGGCTCTTCCTGAGTGCTTCCTGAGTCCCTGGAATCAAGCTGCATGCACTGTGTGGGCAGTGCCCCTTCCCCACGTGCTGCCCAGCTGCCAGCACCCTCGAGCGGGGAAGAAGGAGGTGGGTTGCTCGGAGCGGCACCTGGTGCGCCTCTTCCCTGGATGCGTCACTGCAGGTAGCGGCAAGAGAGGAAGAAGGTTGGTCTTTGGGAGCAGCGCCTGGCACGCCTGCTGGCATTGCCTCTTCTCTGCTTCCTGCGGCTGCTCCAGATGGAACAGGCTGCCAGCTGGGCAACTGGGGTTCTCTGAGCATTTGCAGACTTCCTCCTGGCTTGCCTTGCTTTGCAGGGCCAGGCTGGGTGTGAGAGAAAGCCTGCAGGTGCTGGAGGGGTAGATTCCTCCTCTAACTAGCCCTGTGGAGATTTCACCAGCCCTTTGAATTCTGCCTGGAAAAGGACAGTAGCCAGTAAAGCTGTTGTAATGAGGAAATCGCATGCTCCCTGTAACTAAGGGACCATAAAACACAAGGCTCTTAAAAACATCAAAACAGTGACGTGGCTTCTTGTTGCTGCACACCATCAAGTCATCCCTGACTTACGGTGATCCACAATTTTAAAAGGCTAAACTTGACAGATGCTCTTTCACACCGTTTCTGGAAGCCAAGCAGGTGAGGTCCAAGTGTAATTCTGAAGGAGGCACTGGCCACCATTTGGGAGCCCAGAAAACAGACCTCTGCTCGCAGTGTTGACCTCTCCTGCAGATGTTAACAACCAAATAGGTCCGTATCAAGACAGGCAACTCCTTAGATATGCAAGATTCAGTCACTTAGGACTTGAAAGTTTCCAGCCAAGATCCTGAACTGAGCCCAATGGGCAACTGTTGTAGGTATTTCAAAACAGGCAGTCTCTGGATCCTGGTTTGCAGTCTAACATGTGTGGTCCCCAGGATCATGCGCCCCTCCCGGGGCATACAGTCTTCTAGGCAGCCCTCCCACTGCACCTCCAGGAGGCAATGCACAGTTCTGTGTGGATGGATTCTGCCCTCTCCAGACTAGAAGTGGAGTGCAGACATGCTTCCTTGGAGCCTTGGGCTGGGGAGAGGGCAGGATTCCCTCTGCCCCAAAACTCCCACGTTGAGAAGCCTGGGACCCATCACACCCACCAGAGGTGAACAGAGCACTCATCAAGGTGAGTGCTGCAAATGAATTACAAGCAAGGCTAGTTTTTCTATCCATGCCTTTTAGCTGTGCTAGCTAACTAAATTAAATTTGTCCAGAAGCTGCATGCCATTGCATGAATGCTACTTGCTGGGCATTGTCCTCTAGGCCTGCTTTTATGCTTCTCAGAGACATACTCCGTGTGGACCCCAGAGGTTTTGCTCATGTTCTAACAGTCTGCCTTCCCCGCCCCCCCCCCACAACTTGCACTCCCTTATCACCTATTCCTGATAAAGAATGCTATTGAAACCTTGCAACGTTTCCAGCAAATGGTTGCTATTCCAGTGGTTCTCATTAGACGTGCACCAAGGGAGGAAACCCACATGAATCTTGGCTTCCAGAGCAGCTCTGGGACAGGCACATGGATACCCTCAGATGACCCGCCTTGTGCCATGTGCTCCCGCTTTCCATCCCCTGCATGCCATCTGCTCTGCATTCCTGTGATGTAGCCAGACGTGGTAGGCAGGAGAAAAGCAGCAGGCCTGACAACACCCCCACTCCTTGTCTGCTCCCCCAAATTGATAGCAGGTGTCCTGATCAGAAAAGCCCGGCATTTATTTTGTGTTGTACGTCAAGACTGCTTAAAAACAGTGTGGAGGAGATGGAATGTGACGTGACGCGATGCGAAGTGATGAGTACCCCGATGTCTAATCATCTCATCGCAGAAGTAAGGCGGCAAATTGCAAACGGCTGGAGCAGCATGCAGAACGGCTGCCTACTTCTGCCTTCGCCTAGTTTGGAGCATCGGAATGGGGAAATCGTTCCTTCCCTTTCTTCCCTTGTTCAGACCGTGAAAGGCTCTGCTTCTGCAGCCAAAACAGAACCACCCAGACGCAAGAGGTGCAGGGCAGCTGGCCTGGGGTTCCCCTGGGATTTGCAGGAATACAAAAACTTCTTTCCCTAGGGAAACAGAAACAGATGACTGTGAA